CACCAGCCTGGAAAAGCAGTCATATTTCAATGAGGCTTGGAAAGACAGAGTACCATTTCAGTAGGTACTGCAACTTTCCAGAATACCCATAAGTAGAAGAGTTACCATTACCATCTTGCCAGCAACAGTGCGGAGAAGAAATCAAAGAATGCTTAAAAGCACAGTCTCTTGAGTCTGTGACAAGACTGAAGTGGTGGACAGCCAGCTGGTGCCCATAATGTGGATCTTTTTTTCTTTCTTGTTCCTCACATTCTCTCCTCACTGTTTCTGGGTTTTGAAAACAGTTTTGTCCAAATTCAAATCCTAACTCAATCACAAGTATGTGACCTCAATTAAGATACTTATTAATTAGCACAGTGCTTGACATTAAAACAAAAGTTCCTCAAATGTTACCTATCATTATGATAGTTAATTTTAACTGAGGTAGCAATGAGACAGCACCAAACTGTATTTCTTCATCAGAAATCGTATTAGTGTCATATAGTATCTCAGCTGTTATTCCAGAATAAATGATTGTATCCCACCCAGATCCTAAGCAATATCACCAAGCAACATTCAGGTAAGCATTTTTGTTGGTTTTTTTTTTTTTGGTTTTTTGAGACAGGCTCTCACTGTGTAGTGGAGACGGACCTGGAACTAACTATGCAGCCCAGACTGGTCTCAAACTCACAGCGATCCTCCTGCCTCAGCCTACTGAGTGCTGGGATTACAGCCATGCACCACCACGCCTGGCTTTTTTTTTTTTCTACTCCTTCTGGGTTTTTTTGGCCAGGTAAGCATTTTTAGGTACTTTGATGAAGTTTCCCAGATGATTCAAAAAGTAGATGAAATTAAGAAATTCTAGTAAACACACCACCCGCCTTGCAAGAGCAAGGTCCCAAGTTTGATCTCCAGTAACCAAAAAAAAAAAAAAAAAAAAAAGAAATTCTAGTAAACAAAAGACAACCTAGGGCAACATACCAGTTTACATCAACATTTAAAGATAAACAAAAGGAATGGATTCTAATACAAGAGTTCACAGTATCACAAAAACTGAGCAAGAATTTCAAGAAAAAAACTGTCAGCAATGCTACACAGGAGGTCTCAGAGAAAATGACTAATGATAATAAAAAGGCCTACTGATCTTTAATAAGAGCAGCTTCACATTAAGGAAAAAAATAAAACAGTAAGGATTCAATGCAGTGGGTGGAAAATAAAAAAGTAGAAGTTTATCTTTTCTTTTTCTGGCTGCAAAATAATGAAGATATGCTGCCAAGGAAGTGTGTTTCCCTTGTTTCTTTGGGTTTTGTTTTGTTTTGTTGAGACAGGGTATTGCTATGTAGCCCAGGCTGACCTTGAACTTTCTGTGGAGCTCACAATGTTTGCTCCTCGTAGTGCTGATCTCAGGCATGTACTGCCACGCCCAGCTGTGCATGTGCTTATCTGGTAAAAATTTAATTTATCATGAACAGTCCATAATTAGTTACTGATTATTTTCAAGGCATTTCATAAATTTGTGATCTGGGCTTTCCTAGAAGATTATTTCAGCTCCTTAAATATATATTAGAATATCCTTCATCGAGTACACTGATATACACACTAATCCTAAAATGGAAGCCCAGTATGTTCTCTATGATCTGGCTCTGCACTTATTTTAAAATACAAAATGTGTGTACTTAATCTAATACTAAGAGCTATGTAACTATTCTGCTGTGTAGCCAGCAGCAAACATTCCAATCAGCCACTCAATAATTATCCCACTGGCCAAGTCAAACACCTTTCATTTGCTACATCTTTCTTAATATGTACTCAAGAGATAAAAGTACTCATAGAGCCTGGTTCAAGTGAATTAACTACAATTCTTAATACTTGTGTTACTAGAATAATCCAACCCTACATATATTTCCTGTCTTCCTCAAGTTAAGTTATTCAAATCACAATTTTGTGGTAAAATGTGTTGCTTGACTTAATAAAATGAAACAAATTTTTGTAAATTCTTTCCCTAAACTGACAAGATGTGAAATGTACAATCTGGAACCTGGATCTCCCTTAGTATTCCTCTATATTCTTCCATTATTTGAAACTGTAACTGTTCATCCAATACATAAAAATCGAAAGTTCTTGTGAATACTGTTAGTTTTTCATGTTGGAAAAAATAAGACCTTCCTCTAACTTCTAACTGTGGTAAGCATTCACTGAGGAAGTAAGAGTTTTGCTAGGTATGGTGGCACATGCCTGCAATCCCAGATCTTAAGAGGCTGAGGCAGAAGAATCACCATTGAGTTCAAGGCCAGCCTGGACTTCAGTAGTGAGACTGTCTCAAACAAACAAACAAACAAACAAACAAACAAACAAAAAAAGGAAGTAAGACTTTTAACATGGGGGAAACAGGGCTAGTTTTAAATTAGTGCAATCAAAGAATGCAGAGATTCAGGAAAATATCAGAGTGGCGGGCTCAAAGCTTGAGGGTAATCTATAAAGCTAGAGGGTGATTAAGTCACTAGGAAAATTAGGGAATAAATACAAAAGAAAATGTCAGAAAAGGAGGTAGGAGAATACTAAAGACATTATTCTACTTGGATTATCTAGTTGATTAAGGAACAGAAGCAGGGTATTCATTTTTCTTGAAGGGACACGTTCTATATAGCGGTTCTAAGGAATAACTGTAAAAGCACAAGTAGTCTTTAACTGTCTGCACTAGATGACCCACTGATCCTGTTAAACAAAATTGGCAAACCCTTAACCAATCTTACCAAAAAAAGGAAAGAAGACTCAAATCCATGCAACTGAGAATGAAAAGGGTAAAAATCACAACAAATCCTACAGAAATCCAGAAGATCAATACCTGCTTCAAGAACCTGCATTCCAGTAAGATTGAAAGCACAAAGAAATGGACAGATTCCTCAACACATATGAATTACCAAAGCTGAATCAAAAAGATATGAAAATTCTAAATAAGCCAGTATCAGCCAATAAAACTGAAGATATAGTTAAAAACCTGCCAACAAAGAAAAACTAGGCCCTGATGGATTCACTCCTGAATTCTACAGGAAATTTAGGAGATTTAATGCCACTACTTCTCACACTTTAATGAAATAAAAAAGGAAGCAATATTCCCAAATTCACTCCTGGAAGCAAACATTACCCTGATACCAAAACCAGATAAGGATCCAACCAAAATAGATCTACAGGCCAACCTCCCTAATGAATATAGGCACAAAAATCCTCAATAAGACACTGGTAAACAGAATGCATCAAATCAAAATTATATGCCACGATTAAGTAGGATTCATTCCAGATATGCAGGGATGGTTCAACATACGCAAATCAATAAATGTAATATGCCATATTAATAGACCCAAGGGCAAAAACCATGTGATCACAACAGATTCAAAAAAAAAGGAAGAATGTGACAAAATCCAACACCCATTCATGATAAAAAGCCTATAGAAAATTGGAATAGATGATAAAAGCCATCCATGACAAATCAACAGCCCACATCATACTACATGGACAAAATCTGAAAGTTTTCACTCTAAAATCAGGAACAAGACTAGGATGTCCACTGTCACTACTCTTATTCAATATAGTTCTGGAAACATTAGCCAGAACAATTAGACAACAGAAAGAAATAAAGACAGGAAGGGCCAGGGATTTGGCTCAGCGGTTCGGTGGCCTGCCTTGTAAGCGCAAGGACCCGAGTTCAATCCCTGGTACCAAAAAAAAAAAAAAAAAA